TATGTCCTGATATGTAAAACCATAGAACTCAAAGAGGGTGTACTTTCTTTTTCACACGACTCTAAATGTGTGTGCATGTGTATATACACACAAACACACATACACTATGCTGAATGATCACCTTGCTTTGAAATTGCCCATTCATAAAAGGGAAGTATTTTGAATTGAAGTGATCAGAAAGGGGAGAATTCTGTTCACAATTTGGAGGGGAGGGAAGGATTACTTTCTTGGTGACTTTGATTGTTTCAAAAAAAAAAAAAATGGAAAAGAGCCACTGTGCACAAGGGCTTATAACTTTTATGTTATCTCTTTTTATAATGATCTCTAACCCATACAAGAATCAGGGGACCAGGTAACATTGTGGGGTCCAGGGATTCTTATAAGGAAGAATGTGGCAGGTTCTTGAGTTTCATGAGTGCACAGGATAGGAAAAGGAAAAAAAATGTATTAAAGGATAGTTGGCCACTCATGCATTAAGAAAGCATGCTTTCCAACTCCCTGCAAATTCTCTTGAGAGTTCATTTATTATAGTACTTGCAAAAGAGGCCTCTTTTGTAAGGAAGAACAATTCCTGCATACTCTAGGGCCTGGATTCAATTTGTATGGATATGTATGCATGTATATATTTCTTCTTGTCACGTATTACCACAGCTTAAACAAAACAGTTATTTCATTGGAAGAAAATTCAGGGAAAAAAGAGCTACATCTTCCTATGATACAAATTGATTATTGAAATGTCCTACTAAAGGAGATGGTGAAGCTCTGGACAGCTGTAAAATAAACATAGCATAGGTCTAGCCTGCCCTAAACAGATCCAGATTCAACAGTTTTCCTCCAAATACCTTTATTAGGCCCAATCAAATAAGATTACAGTTGTAGCCAAGGCTTCAAAATAGATATTAGGGAATGGAAATCAGTCAAGATCCAGTTTGAATGTGAGATTTGTAGGTGACCTGATTCAGTTCAAATTTATGATTTACTGGCAACAACATTCTATTTAAACTAATTTAAGGGTAGATTTGATAAAAGATTTGGCTGTAGATTACAATGGAGAAGCACCAAAATGCCTGTAGCTGCTTTGTTTTTGAAAGAACGGGATGGAAGCAGCAGAGTCAGTAGACCCTTTAAAGGGCCCTGCAACATTTCAGGCAGATAGCTTCAAGGATTTCACTGCAATAAATTTTAGAAATATTTCCCACGTACTTTTTCTAAGGCAAAACAACAACAATGAGGGAAAAAACAACTTTTAAATTGTCCAGCAAAGGTCCTATGCAGAATTGCTGAAACAATGCAAACAAGAACAACTCCTAGTCCAACTTAAAAATGTATATTATCAAAAATTGTTTAAAAAACTAACTAAAGATGAAAGAATCCACCCCCTTTGGACTATTTCCTTTTCTGCTTTGGCAGGCTTATTGACATAGTTCATTGGCTGTGCTCGGCTCTTCTGGGAATGGTATGTTGCTTGTGCAACATTTAAAAAAACCTGAGAAGGGTGTATGCATAATATCACTCTTGTGCACATAATAAACTATTATATGAAATACTTCATCTTATACCCAATAGCTGAACAGCAAGCACACCGTCTCAGACTCACTCACATAGGCATCCTCAGCAAACCAAGATTACATTAACACGGCACACCCACCGTGATATCAGGATGTAAATTCCACCCTTACATACTTGTGCCCAAGGTCTGAGGCAAGTATATAAGGTACAAGATTTGCATCTCGTTGATGCGATGCACGTTCTGTCACCCCCCTGGCCCCCCAACCCCTGTGAATTAAACTAACCCACTTAGTATAAGATAAAACAGATCCAGACAAGATGCAGAAAGGAAGAAAGGACTTGAGTGGGGCGGTATTTTGCCTTTTTTTTTTTTTTGAGGGGGTGGGGCTAAAGGAATAAAAGGGTGTAAAGAATTGCAGACAGACTGTATACAGAGACTAATGGGGACTTTACTGAAGGTCAGACAAACAGATTAAAAAGGAAGGGAGGATAAGGATAAGAAGTTACGATTTGGAAAAGCTAGAGGTTTACAAGAAAGAGCAAAGCAGATTAGGAAAAAGAGAAGCAGAATGCAACTGAGCCTGTCTTTCTCCCTTTCGTTCTTCCCCTTTGAGCAAGCCTGCCTAACAGACTCTAAGAGAAGACTGAGGCCCAGAGAGCAGAGTATCGATTTCCCCCATCCCAAGCAGTCTGAGAGGCAGGATTTTCAAGGATGATAATATTTATTGGCCAGCTAATCACACTGGTATAAAACAGCTTGTCGCTCTAATTACCTCCTTCTTTCTCCTCCAGCTTTGTCCATTTATAAAAAGAAAGTTGCAAAATTATTTGACGCAGCAAAGCCAGAAAGTCCACTGGATCTCCAGACTGCCTTGAAATCTCCCAGAAACTATTTGAAGGCACCAAATTCAATTCTATGTCTGAGACAGACTGAAAGATTCAGTTTGAAGATTTGATTCAGGACGTGATTTCAGCAAATTCCTTTTGAATGGCATCACTTCTTCAAAGCTCTGCACAACCCTAACAGTTATCCTTGATTAAGGAATTCTAAGCCCAGGATTTTTTTCCAGTACCAGAACCAAACAGGGTTTCTAATTCTTACATATAAAAATGTCATTGACTTAATTTAGACATTCTTACTCACAGCAGGATAATTTAAGGTGTGTCAAGGGGTTGGAGAAGAAAAAATTTGTAGCTGATATTGTTACCCCATCAGGGATCAGAAACCTTTATGATCTACTGCATATCATCACAGAGAATCGTAATATTTGCACACCCCCAAGTAACTTTGCCCAGTCCCCTCAGTCTCTCTGTGTAAAATTAGTTTCCAGTTCTCTCATCTTTTTTAACCTTCTTTCCATCTTTTACAGTTTCTTTGAATCCCAGCACAGGAACCAAGTGGAGTCTGATCAATACAGAATGCAGATCTATTAACTCCCTATGATTTGAAAACTACATTTCTACAGTATTTATATTGCTTAAATTGCCCCAAAAGCACATTCACCTGATTTATATTCACCTTGCCATTACAACTGCAACATCCTTTTCACACATACTATTATCTGGCCAATTATTGGCCTAGCACCTGTGTATGTATGTGATCAATTTTCCCAAATGAAAAACTTTTACATTTGTGTCCATTAAATTTAGAACTTTTTATTCTTAACCCACTTCTCTAACCTATGTTCCAATCCAAATTTCATCTATTTTGGATATGCAGGATACATAGGTTCCCAAGATATGGACACCTACCATCTAGTGGCTTGAACATACATACAAATGCAACCATATGAAGCATCTGACAAATAACAGATTTGACTACAATTTTGCAAAAAGAAGAAAGAGAAAAGAAGACTTCCTACTTCACTGTATAGACAGTGAGTACTGCAAGACTGAAGCCACTGGTTCTCTCTTGTGCATACGACCATTAGCAAATCTAGTCTTGTTATCCAGTATGTCCAAGGTAGCGTAACAAACACAAATGAAAGATGACATTACTTGACATTATTAGTGAACTGGCAAGGGAGAACATACCTTTTTCTGCTAAATCTTTCCACCTGTCTTTGTTTTCCTGTATGGTCTGGAATAAGTTGTCCTTAAAGCTTCTTAAATCCACCATTGCCAAAGCATTTTCTGAGCAGGTCCCACCAACGCATGCAGCGTTTTTGATACTTATCTTTTTCTGTATATCAGTGCTGGTGCCTCCTGTACTATTTTCACTACAAAGAGGGGAAAAGGTTCGATTAGAATTAAGACACCTTTACTGCATGGAAATACAAAGGCAGCACGCTTTTGGTAAAATAAACTGTATGCCTCCAGAATGCAGAATTCAACTAAATTGGGCCCATTCATTCCTTTTCATGATCAATCCTAGGCATATCTTACAGCAACCATTCTAACATGTTGCCTTCCCTATGTGGACATTCTGGGAGTTGTAACTAATATTTCTGGAGGACTACAAATGGGAAAGGCTAGCTTAGAAACAAGTCTCACTGATTTCAATGATATCTTGACTTCCGGGAAAGAATGCACAGCACTGAAGCTTAAATCAAATAAATTGGATTAGAAGAACTAAGGCATCCACCAGCTCCTGTAGCCCTTTCCTCCTCCTTAAATAATAGAGCAGAGCTATTCATTTTAAATGTATTTCATGATATCAAATCAAAACATTCATCTTTGACTTCAGATTTTTGGATGGTGACATGATGATAGGTAGATAAATAAAGTATATGAAGTAAATATTTATAATATTTTACTAGCACAGGGGAAATAATCAACACAGTAAAAAGTTTTTCCATTGTTTGCTTGAGATTAAAAAAACAACCACCCCACTCTCTCCTTTAACATTTTCTACATAACAATTCGGCTTTAGATTCCCTGAACTGAATCATTTTCTTTGTATGCGTGCTACTCTATAATAAGGAAAAACACGCTATAGTAAGCAATACATCCTGTCTTTGCCTTCCATGCATTCAGTTTCTGCCTTGAGTAGAATACGCCAAACCATAGATAACAATTGTAAATATTGCCACTAGATGGCAGTATTACATTAGGGTCACTGCAGTTTCCAATAATTACAATGGTTTAGGAAGAAAACAGAAAAACCAAAACCTCAAACCTTGGTGCTGTCACAAAGGTAGGACTTTCGGACTTTGATGCTTCCTCTATAAGAGGAAAAACTATTTTCTCCATGGAGTCAGTAAGAAGAGCAAATGTTGGTTTCACTATGAAATCAATGAAACCTGTAGAACAATGGAAAGTGGGGGGCGGGGGGGGGAGAGAACATTTAGGGCTTGTCCAGTCAGAATGAAAAACTTGGCACCCGCTATGCTAGCACCCGGTAAACTAAACAGACACCAGGAGGTGCCGTCAATGGCCGGAGAGAACACCACAGAAAGCCCATCTGGAGGAACCCCCAGTAGCACCATTTACATAAGTAGGAAATACCCAGGACATTCTATGAATCGAAGGACACCGAGCTTCAGTGAAGGTTTTGTGCAAGAAAAAAGGGATGGAGGGACAGACCTCACTGATTTCTCCTGGCATGTTACAGAAGTTCCCCTCCTATTCTCCCAAGCAGCTTTTTTTTGGGGGGGGGGGGGCAGGAAATAAAAACCGGCAAAAATCCCTTCCCTTCCGAATGCTTCAAATAGTCAGAAGGTCACTACACATTACTCTGGATCCAGCCAATGTGCTCTTACAAAATCAAATGAGTTTGTATGTTCCCTGGGTGTAGTAAACTCTGTTAAGCAGGATTAGTTGTATTTTGCTCATAATGCAGAGAAGGGGGGTGAAGAAATGGGTAAGCCAATATAGCTAGTTCAGCAGACGTGAATCTAAGATGCCACCCTATACAGAAGATGGCTTGTCACAGTTGCTTCCAACTTGATACACTTATTTTATTCTGAATTTCATAGACTATAGGCTCAGGACTGTGATTTTCATGCTGACCCACAAGATGAAGTCCAGGTCAAAAAGAAATTGACCCTTTGTATTGATAGCTTTTCATTTTCCTAATCAGGTAATTATTCTATATGTCTTCACTCTGAAAACACACTGAATGAAGAAAAGCACAGTGTTGACCACTGATGATCAGGGCTTACTTCATTGTTTTCTCTCTCCTCAGCCAGTTTTTATGTAGCATCCCCTTCTGCATGCTTCCTCTGAAACGAAAGCCACTGAATTCCATGACGCTGACTCTCGGATAACTCTGCTTTACGCCAACCAGCATCTTATTTCTTTATCTGCAGGGCTTATAGGGCTCTCATCTGCTAACTCTGACTTGGGTACAATTCCCCACTCTGTCACTGGGGTTAAAACATACAATTAAGTGAAAAAGAATCTAAAAGTATTCCTATGGAAGTGGGAGGCATGACTAAAAACATGAACCATAGTGTGGACATGCCCTCTCCAGCCAAGAGACCGTGACAACAATCAATGGAACAACCAGGTTGTCACCAGCTTCCAAAAAGCCAGGAGGGAAGAGGAAGATTGCACACTGGAGGCCTACTCTTCCAGAGGAGAGGGCAGCAATTTTAAAGCCCTGTTTCCATGGCCCTAAAAGATGACAGCCTCTAACTGAGGGAATGGTATGAAAGAATGTAGACTCTGCCTTGGGAGGGAAACAATGAACCATTAAGGGATGAGAAAAAAAAATTACTCAGTTGTGAGAAGGAGGAAAACATGAGAAAGAAACTCAAAATAACCCCACCTTGATTGTCTTTGGTATAAGATGTGGTAGAGAGAAACTCTTTCTCTTACCAGGCTTTCAAGATGCTGCTGCAATACCCTACAACAATTTTTTAAAAATCCTGAAATCCCTACTCCTTCTGTTTCATGACCTTGCTCACCTGTCTGATAGATACATAGAAAACCCTGCTCGATTTAATTGGGAGAAGATGGTTCTGCAGATACCCATGCTTCAGACTCTGAGGGGCTTTAAAGGGGCAACCAGCACCTTGAATTGTACCTGCACACAAAGCGGCAACTAGTGCAGCTCTTGGAGTAAAGGTGTTACATGAGTGCCTCCGGAACTACCCATCTCTACCCAAGTGCCTGCATTCTGGACTAGCTGCAGCTTCCAAATGCTCTTCAAAGGTAGCCCTACATAGAATGCGTTACAATAGCCCAATGAAGAGGTAACAGAGGCATGAGTGACAGTGAGTAATGCCTGCCATTTCAGGAATAGATGGAACTGAGCAAAGGCCCTCTTAGCCACATCTGTCAGTTGTTAAAGCAGGAGCTGTGAATCTAGGAAGACTTCCAAATTGCAAACTGAATCCATCTGGGGGATTCAGAATGGGTGATGGTATCTCACTGATGGTATCTTACTGGAATTAGCTGAACCCAGAGCCACATTGTCTTACTGCAATGGAGTCTCAACCTGTTCTTCCCCATCCAGATCCAGACAGCTTTCAAGCTCCTGCACAGCACTTAGCCAGGATCAAGATGTACAGAAGGGGAATCATCAGCCTACCAATGACCCCAATAATCTCATCCAAAAGCTTCATGTAGATGTTGAATAGGAGTGGGGAATGTGTAGAGCCCTGGGGCATGCCCCCACTTAAGGTGTCTGGGGCTTGAGCTGTCCTCCCCTACAACAAACAACTGAAACCACCTCTTCATGAAGGAGGAGAACCACCATAATATAATCCTCTCCCCCGCCCCAATTGTTGGAGATGGCTTAGAAGTTTGACTGATAGTATTTGAAAACCACTGAGAGTTCAAGCAAGACCAAAAGGGTCACCAGAAATCATCAGTAAGTGCCATCAATGCCATCTTCATGCTGAATCTAAGCCTGAAACATGACTGAAATGAGTTCAGATAATTTGGATTTGAGGATCTGGACCTTTATGACATTGAATTTATATTTGAAATGATTCTTCATTATGTGATGCTAGTGATATTTGACAACATGTTGGCAATGTTCTGTCAGATTAGTGAATGAAACAAGTAATAACCCTTGGAGACAGAATTCAGCCCACAGCTCTGAGGTGGCAATACTGAACCATGTCTTCATTTTATTTAAAAGAAAACACTTGCCACTGTGAACAAAGCACTATCTTCCACTAAGAGCTGAACTGGCAAAAAACTGAATTCTATATGGAATGGTAATAGATTTTACATCCTCTTGATATGCTAAATAAATGTCCCATCACAAAGGCACCCAGGAGCCCATTTCCTTCCTGAATTCTTGGAACAAGGAACTTCACCAATGCTTAAAACTGATAGAACCAAAATCAAGATGCTATAGTCGTCTACCCTGTGTTAATAAAAAGAGAGGCTGACATGAAGACCCTTTACAGTAGCATCCACCTCCCTTTCCGACTTGCAAGATTCTGTTAATGTAACTTTACAATAAAGTGGAGCTAGTGTGCTTCTTGTCTGGACTACCTTGCAAGGCTGACATCAGTTTTGCAAGTCTGAAAGTACATTTCTCCCCCGTCAGCTTTACAGCCCAAGAAACTAGGGAGGGCCTCTTCTGAGATGCTTCCCATGCCCACATTCCTGCTGCAGGCTAAGCTGCCTGTTATCCAATCACTGCCCTGGCTACAGCTCTTCCCCCGTCTCCCAAGGTCATTCCCACATACCATTACACACTGATGAGGAGTAGAGAGGTGCTGCACTCCTGTGGGATCTCAAGCACTTCTTCTGCATCATTTTTGAAGCATCCACAGCCCTATTCTATACAAATATATCACAGAACCAAGCTCTAAATGTTTACCACACATCTTAAATACATATTCTAAAGTATACCATTTACTTGGTTCCTATGTACTCTGGCAGCATTTTGAATTATACTTCATTTGTTTCAGATGGGTTTCTACTGACACATCAAGAGAGCAGCCACGGGATACACCATGGTCCAGAAGTAACCGTGCCTTTTATGTATCGATTCAAAATTATCTTGAAAACAATCTTTATGGAGGACTGATAGCAAACTGGTGGAAATGTATAGAAATTTATAGAAAAGATTGTCTTCACTTGGAGAGGGGATTCTGGCATCCTAGAAGAATTTCACACATGGATGAAGAACAGGGATAAACGCATTGTTTGGTCTCTAAAAGGATATATGCATTTGCTCAGTGAAAAAAAAAATCTCCAAAGTGAGAAGATGGATTTAACAAAATCTGTTGAGGACGTTCACATGTGAACAAAAAATGCATGAGACATCTCTTTAAAAATGAATGAAAAAATAAATGAAATGAAAACATGAAAAAATATGAAAATATGAAAAATATGAAAAAATAAATAACTTTAGCATTTCCCCCCAGAAGGTTTAATTAAAAAAATGCAGTGTCTAATTTAAATGTAAGCTTTCAGCTACTGGGATTCACTTTGTGGCAGGTATTCACAGAATATGTGCCTTACCAAAAACTCTTATAAAAGGTGGGAATGAGGAATGGAATAGATTGCTTGACCAGGGTTGCCATATCTGGGTTGCAAAAACACCAAATGACCAAAGATGGGAGCAAAAGCTTATGGTTTTCTGTATTTCTTTGCTGCAGTTTATTGCTCATCTAGATTTTCACAGGCCTACTTATGCTGTCAGTGGGATTGAGATTGTTGAAATGTTCTCAAGAATTTTATAAATAATTATAGAACCAATAGAATGCTTGTCATTTGGTAAACATGGTTGTACATAGGGGTATAGTTTATGCTCATGTAGAATCTTTTTTGTTAGTTTCTTAATATGTATTAAGAATTGATAATGTATTTTCCAAAATGCATTGGGCAGAATAAAGAATAAGTTCTGCTCTCTGGTTTACGTGTCTTTGTTGTGTGACTTTGTGTCTCTCCTTCCTACAAGAACAACAGCTGGAAAAGACTATGGAGAAAAGTGGTGCATGAAGCAATGCAGCCATTTACAGGTAAGGAAGCAACACTCCTCTGTGAACTAACTTTAAGCCACAATATTTAGATATTTGTAATATTCCCTCCTCTCACATCACTGATTCACCCATAATTATATACCTGTGACTGAGAGCTAGTTTTGATATCACAATTGACCCCACCTATACACGTGCCGGAGTGTAAGTCAGTGCCAGAAAAGTGAACTAAGATGGGACGCTGACAGTCTCTTATGAATGAGAAAGGCACACTGTGAAGCCCCTTCCTCATCGACATTAGCAGTGGCACCAAGATGGGAGGAAACATGCTGGGATCCCAAAACACTAGTTACAAACTCTAGGAATCCCCTATCTAATTCTTCCAGTGAGGCTATTCTCCACCAGGGATGAAGGTGTGAAAAATTGTTAGAGGCTGAACTGCATGACAAAACCAGCTGTGTCCTGTTGCATCAGGCATTTCTTCCTTTCTTGGTATGACATTTAAAAAAAAACAACAAGCCTTACCTATTTGGGACTGTGCCACCATGGTGGACTTCCGGTCACAGAGAGGAGAGAATGGTAGCCCCAGCGCTGCCTCTTTGTCTCCCTAAAGGGTGGGTGGGGGGAGAGAAAACATACCATTATCAACATACAATTGAAGCAAGTGAAATAAAGTCTGAGTGAAAGTAAGCCCAAGCATTCAGAGATGACAGCTGTATATGGCCCTAACTATTTAAAAGCCAAACGCCTGGCAATACAATCCTAGGTAAGAAATAAAAGATATAAAAATTGGCAAGTAGCCTGTCCCTTTCTCATTGCTTATAGTAGAACTCTTGACCTGCATCTGCCATAGTTAGGAATAGTTAGGAATGGGAACCTCTTGATCATTCAGGGTCATGGTCATGGATATTATGCCCTTGAGCTATCTGCCATCATGAAATTATCTCCATATGGTTGGATGCAAAACAAGGTTATTGCCTGAAGTTAAATAACACATGGTTGCTATTTGGGAGGGGAGAAAGCCTGTATCTAGCCACAAGGACACACAACGAGGGAAAGGTTCATTGAGAATATTCCTATCCATAGGTAAAAGTTGCTGAGAGTCGGGCAGCATATAAATTTAAAATAACAACAACAATGTTGTGCTTGTCCTTTGGATAGGTACACACACACATACACACAGACAGACATGCCATGCTAGTGGTTCTTCTGCATTTTTTCAGTCTTTCACTTTTGACTGTTTTTTTAAAAAATTCCTGGGTGAAACAATGGGAACTGCATTTAAGTTAATTATGTGACCAAAGGGTATATGTGAATGTCCCTATTGTATGATGATCTCTCTAATAGTCTGCAATCCACAAACACCAACAAAAGAAATTATTGAGCAGTCTGAAAACAAAAGACAAAGTCTCCAACATTTAATCTGCTTAGATAAATTAATTTTTTTTAGATATTCTTCTGGACTTAACAGTTCAAGGAAGTGCTTAAGAGAGTGTAATGCATGCAATTACTTATGTCCAAGACAAATACATTTATAGAGATCTCTTGATTATTTTAGGGAACACAAGATCATAAAATCAGTGCTTTTCCAAGCAAAAATGGCTAAACCATTCTCTTCTTCCTTTCTTTTTTTTGCAACTGAGACATTCTTAAACAGACCTGCATTTGCTTAAAACAACCCTTTTAATTTAATTTTATTTTTTCCAATGTATGTGCTTAGATTGCTTAGTGCTTAAATTTGTTTTTTTATCATATATTTTTCATCTCTTCCCCATTTAACAGGCTCTGTTCAGATAGGATAGGATAGGATAGGATAGGATAGGATAGGATAGGATAGG